CTTCCAAGGGAAGTGGTGCTGGCCCCTACCCTGGGGGTCTTTAAGAAGAGGCTGGATGCCCACCTAGCTGGACTCGTTTGAGTCCCATTTCTCTTTTTGGGGTTTTTGTTGTTCTCCCGCCCTGGCGGGGGGTCGGGCTAGAAGATCTACTAGGTCCCTTCCGACCCTTAATCTATGAATCTATGAATCTATGAATATGTCACCCATGCCTCACATCTGTAGAGGAGTGTGAGGATAACCACTACATTGTAGACCAGGATCTTAGTTTCCATCTGCAGATCTCAGTTGGCAAAGACATGAAAAAACAGCTTTCCAAAGGATACACTGGCACAGAGAATCCTAGACTTGATTCCTACATCAAGACTGATTGACTGAGAAAGGTGGCTACCAAGGTATGGGAAAAGCTCAGCACTTTCCAGGGGTTCTTCACCAATGGTAATTTGTGGGGGGTGGAGGGCAGCTTGTACTGAGGCAAGCTGATGGCGCACCTTCATCTTCCCAATATTAAGGGAGAGTCCCAAGCTATGATGGGCACCTGAAAAAAGGTAAAGGGTGGACTGCAGATTGGTCTTAGTGCACGCGAGGACAACAGTCATTAGCGTACTGAAGGTTGGTGATGCCAGCCTTGGTAACTTCCACTTTTCTGTGAAGGCACCGCAGGTTGAAAAGATGACAGTCTATTTGATACTCAACCCCAATTCTGGGAGGAAGGCAGACGTGGATGAGAATCAAAATCACAGCAAGATAGATGGAGAAATGGGTTGGGCGATGATGCAGCCCTGCTTGATACCAGTACGGATGGTAAATGGGTCTGCCTCTGATCCATTGCAAAGGACTGTGATGGTGATCCCATCATGGAGCAGCCTGAGGATGCTGATGAACTTCAGTGGACAATCAAACCTAGACAGCACCTTCCATAAGGCTTCACAATTGATGGAGTTGAAGGCCTTGCTTAGGTCAATGAATGCCATAAACAGCTGGTGTTGCTCTCTATGCTTCTCCTGGATCTGCTGTGCAATGAAAATCATGTCAGTGGTACCCTGAGATGGTCTAAAGCCATAGTGGGATTCTAGAAGGATATCTTCGGCAAGGCAGAGAAGGCAATTCAGAAGGATGCAAGTAAATCTTCCTGTCAATGGAGAGGAGGGCAATTCCTTGGTAGTTCCCGCACACTGACTTGTCCCCTTTCTTGAAGATGGTGACAATGTTGGCATTCTTTAAGTCAGGTGGGGCTTCCCTGTTAACCCATATTTTAATGACAAGTTGGTGAAGTTTTTGCATTAGTGCTGTTTCACCAGCTTTGAGCACCTCTGCAGGAAAGCTATCTGATCCTGGCACCAAACTATTCTTGATCTGAGTGGTGGCACGCCAGACTTCCTTAAAGAATGGGGGATCAGCAAGAGAGTCTATTACTGAGTATTAAGGGATGGACTCAGTGGTGGCAGCTGAGACCTCAGATTCACGGTTGGAGTAGAATCATGAAGTGCTCCTACCAGTGTTGTTTGATGGACACATCATCTGTGAGAAGGGTGGAGCCATCCTGGGATTGCAAGGGGGTTGGGTCATTGGAACATGGCCCACGGATGGCTTTTATTGCTTTAAAGAAGCTTCTCATGTCATGTTGACCAGCAAAACTCTGGATCTCCACTGCCTTCGCTTGCCACCACTGGTTCTTGATGTCTCATAGCCTCCTCTGAACTACAGCTTTAAGCCAGTAGTAAGCCCCTCGGTTTTGCTGGTTGGAGGGTTCATTTTGCAAACTGCAGAACGTGTTTTTTTCTGATGGCTAAGTGCTAGGATTTCCTCATTCTTTTTGTCAAGCCAATCTTGGTGATGTAAAGTAGAGTATCCAATGATTCGATGCATGCTGTTGCAGGGCACTTTGGTGCCCTGCTCCTATAAAGAGGTACAGGTGCCGGTTGCCAGGGCAACCGCAGTTTGGTCAGCTGACCAGAAGGGGCGTCCGGAGAGATCACGGCTGCTCCTAGGACCCCGCCCCGTGACACATGCCTTCTGAATAAAGTTCTTCAGTTCCTCCCAATGTGCCTAGTTGTCCTTGATGTCATCAGGTAGGTCAGAGAGCCTCTCAACAAGGTGTTGCTGAAGAGCCTCGTATCTAGCTTGGTCTTGCAGTGCCTCAATGGTAAATCTCTTCTCTATTCCTTTCGGCTCTTTACGGTGTTGTGGGGCAAGCTGCATGTGCGCGATTGATCTGACTAAACAGTGGTTCATCCAACAGTCATCTGCACCTCTCAGGACTCAGGTGATATGGATGGTATGATCATGGGCTCTGACAATAATATAGTCAAGATGCTGCCAGTTATTGGAGTGTGAGTGTTTCCAAATGGTTTTATAGTTGCCACTCTGTCTGGAGATACTATTTGTGCTGAGTAAGTCATGCTCTGCACGTTTGCTGAGGAGGATACCACTGAAATCGACTTCCCCTACACCCTCTTTCCTGGTGGTGCCACTCCAAAGTTCAAAAGTTCAGAATATTGCCCAACTCTTCTGCTGAAGTCACACATGAAGATGAGCTTGTCTTCCTTGGCAGTGGCAGTCAGGATAGTGTCAGGAGCACAGTAGAACTGTTTCCTGTTGACTTCATCGTCAAGTACGGGGGTGTACACACTGACGGTAGCATACTGGTTGTTACTGAGCTTGAGGTGGAGTCATAAGGTGTTCATTAATGCCCACAGAGGGTTCTGAAAGCTGACTGACAATCTTGTTCTTGATGGCAAAAGCCAAGCCTGTGAATGCGCCTCTCTTCAGGTGACTTCCCTTTCCAAAAAAAAAGTGAAACCTTCTTTCAGCTGGCCTTCATCTGCCCAGTGGGTCTCGCTTAGGGCAGCAATATGAATACTATATCTTGCAAGTTCTCTAGTTACTACAGTGGTTTTTGTTTCTACAGTGGTTTTTGTTTCAGGACACTCATGGTTCACGGAGTCCATGAGAGTGCAGATACTGCCTGGGGTGAACTCCATCCGCCCCAGCACACCAATGTATTGCGAGTCAAGGTTGCTGATATTTTTGGGACTCCACCAAAATAAACCCACATTGCCGACCTCTGTACTATAGGATATTTGCTGGTAATTTGTGAGATGTGATCAGGAATAATTAAAATAAATCAAATAAGAGAGCAAAGTCTGTTGTGTTTTCTTAACTGTAATGTTTCCTGACTTGCTCTTTCATAAATATCTGTAATTTTCAGCAAGTCTTCTAGATATTAGTGGAAACTCAAAGCAAGAAAAGCTAATGTTCAGAGTGTTAGAAATCTTGAGTAAATTAATTGTAATTTTTTTGTTAAAAGCAGAATCTATTAGCTAGAAATGTGCAGGTAACAGACAGATGCTATGGCATATACCAGCTGTGTCAAACTAGAATGAAAGGCTTCTAACTTAAAAATATACATAAGCAAGGAAATCCAGTCCTGTCCATCAATGATGGTTGGAGATCATTAAGGCCTGACCTATGGTTAACTGGAGTTTTTCCACTATTCCAATATGTTTTGGATTGCAAATGATAGTTCAGTCCTATGGGGTGCAAAGCAACTACTAAAAGGTATTGTGAATCCTCAATTCCAGTTTCCGTTTTCCAGAACAATTGACATTTTCAATGCTAAGTTGATGGAAAATCTTGTTCTGAGCTGAAATATTTTTCCTTACTTTATACTGTAAGCTATTGTACGATGCAAGTACAACAGGTTACAAGCACTTCGAGTTGTTATCAACAGTTTACTGTCAAATGAAGGGCTGTATGAAGTGAATTCACAAAGGGGCTATTCTCGATTCAGTGCTATTCAATATTTCCGTATGGGGATAATGAGAGAAAAAGGATATTTATTAAGTCTGCAGGTGGTACTAAGCATGGTGAATTTGCAAGTACTCTCAAGAACAAGACTAGAAATCAAAATGACTTGCACAAATAGAGAAATGGTCCTAAATTAATAGGATGCAAGGCTATTGTAAAAAAGGTTTTAAATGGTTCTCTATGGCCAGTGGGGATAGGACAAGATGGAAAGGTCTTAAATTGCAGCACAGGAGATTTAGGTTAGACCACAAGTGTCAAATGTAAGAGCCCACGGGCCAGATACGGTCCACACAGCCTGTTCAGTTGGCCTGTGGGGCTCCCAGAGGGACCAGGAATTGAGGGGTGGGTTGAGTAGTGGCAGGGCCTGTCACCAAATCCTCAGATACAGAGTCCCACTAGGGTTGCTTTTCAGTGGCAGGGGAGGGATAAGCAATAGCTACGTTAACCCCAATGCTCACACTACTACTGCCGCTTACCATGCTACCACTAATGAGGCCCATCTCTGACCCAAGAGGAGCCCCGCTGTTTGGATCTAGCCTGAGGGCAGAGATGAGTTGGACACCCTTCAGTTAGTCATCCGGAAAATCTTTTCTAAGGGCTGGGATAGTGAAGCAAAAGGGTAGATGAGCTCAAGGGTTGTGAAATTTCCATTGTTCAAGGTTAAATACAAATTAGACAAATATCTGTCAGGAAGGCTTTAAGCTGAGCTGATCCTGACTTGGGACAAAAAGGTGGATTAGATGATCCCTCCCAGATCCTGCCAGCCTTATTTCCCATGCATTTCATGAGCTCTCACTCTGGGGGGTTCAGTGCCTGTTAGGAGTTACTCACTATCTTATGGTAATGGACTAAGTTTTATAGTCCTGAAGAAAGAAATGCAGAGTTTCATGAAGCCCCACAAGAGCTGTCAGCATCTCAGATCATCCCATCTCACATCACCTCACTCCTGCAGGCAATCCAATCGAAAGCTTCATCTTCCCCTCAGAGACTCTCACTTACGAAATCCAAGTGGGACATATGGTGGAAACAGAAGGACACAAACTCACCAGGTGTTTTTGGTTCATTTAACATGTCAGAATCCACCTCTTCTCCCTCGAAGTGGAGCTCCCTCGTGTCTAGGCTCTCTATTATATTGCTCATGTCTGCAGCAATTTTTTTCAGCGTAGAAGTGTCTACTGGTTTTTCTCTTTTCAGTGACATCTCAAGTGCTCGCACTCCAGTAACACAGGGGGCTGTTTAAGAGAAAAGGGAAGACTGGTCATTTCTATGTGTCCAATATAATGCCATTAAAGGACTGGGTGGGTGCTAAGGAACTGTTGGGATTTTGTTGCCTGGCACATGGCAGTCTCTGGCCTCCTACCCATCACTCTGGCAGCCAGACTCAAATAGAAATGTGTTCATTTGGACACCTCTATAACTCCTACAATGTACCCCCACAACACAGCTGCCCCAACATCCACAAAATAATCCAATCACACAGGGAGACAGGAAACACAGAATGAAGTTTTAGACCAAAATGGAAGCTTCCCTTGACTTCAGTAGAAGCTCGCTCTGGTTTCAGGATTTTTATATTACTATCTTAAATGGACCACGATAACGTTTGCAGTTTTGGCCTAAAAGAGCGTCCTTCAGAATAGAACGCTGCTTAGAAAGGCTTTCTTCCACCGGCTTCAAAATGGGAAGGAAATCTTGCAGATGAACCTGCCTGGTCAGTGTAGCTAATTGTGTTTTAATTGTCTGTGATAAAAATGAAAAATACAACCCACTTTCCCGCCTGGCTGACTGACACTACTTCTAGAACTAATTCACCTGTAGCTACATTTTCAAAGCTATGGCACATGGAGGAAAAAAAAGCTTAAAGTCAATGGGTATTTTTGTTAACTGTTTTTGTGATGAAAAGAACAAAATTAATTCCTTGTATTAATATTGACATGTCTTCTATTTTTGTTCGATTTAAAATATTTACATGGCTCACACCACCATAGCTTTGTAGTGCCTTGTACTCTTTAATGTATTTATCCTTGGAACACACTTGTGAGGTAGCAGTCCTATTATTATCCTATTAACCCCAATTTAGAGGAGGGGGCCTGAAGCAGAGAGAGACTAAGTGACTTGCCTATGGTTACTCTGAAAGGCTGTGGCAGAGTGGCCACTTGGATAACAGAGTGCCCACATTGTCACCTAACTTCCTGGGCCATTATTCTTTGTAAAATGTTACAAAGCATTTGGGTTAACAAACCTAGTCTGCAGGAGACTACCCCTCATAACCGTTGTTTGTGGAAGAAGCAAGAGCTAGAAAAGGAAATCTGTATCAGAGTCAGGTCACCTATGCATAAGTAGCAGCATTTTGGGAGACTTTAGCTGCATTTATGACTAAAGTATTCTTCTCTTCTACCTTCCTATATCAGAAACTTGAATGGTGGAAAATGGAAAATAGTAGACACTACACCAGTCCAATAATATCTTACATCACTTTTCTTTACTTATGATTTTTTAAAAACTTTTAAAGCTCTGTTTTCTTCTGCCCCAGTATTGAATTCAGAAATCCCTATTCAGACGAAGTAGCAGAACTGTTTGCTCATATGAATAGTCTCATAGCTTCAACAGGATTTACTGAGCTGAGTGCTGCTCAGTGCGATTACAGGTTGCAGACTCCCATCCTCAGTCATTAAACACAATTATGCTTCACCGATGATAACACCCTCCTACACAACTGTGATAAAAGAATTCCCTCAACCTTTGCACTCATCATTAAAAAACACGCAAGCTTGACAACTATGTTCTCAGGTAGTATAGACTGATGTGATTTTACTCTAGTCCGCGCCGGTATACCTAGTTGTATCAGCTGAAGATTTGAGCCTGTGTAAAGAAATGTTCTACAAGATCATGTTGTTGCTGCTGTTAAAATCTGCAAAAAACATTTGCAATTGTTATTAAAATTGACTGTTCAGGAAGTGAAGGAAAAGGATTTGTGAAATAATTCATGTATACACACAATAATTCATGTATTTAGATGCTTTTGAAGAAATACTTTACCAGTTGTCTCGAGGCCATGTTAAAACTATATTAAGTCTTATTATTATGCAATAGTAGTATTATATAAACTGTGTCATTCTCAAAAAGGGAAAAATTGATTTCTTCAGAAAGAAAATACCCAAATTCTGCCCAGCCAGAATGAAGAAACGCTGGCTCAGATTCTCCTCTCAGTTATACCACATTAAACCTTGAACCCTCCGTTTCGTTTGTAGAGCAACAGTGTTGGATCTTGGTGCAAGAACTGTAGCGGCTCCGACCCCTCCGACAGTCGGCGTGGCCATTTACAGCACAACAGAACGAGTTCTTAACTGGACAACAACTGATGAGGCCTCTGGCTTGCTGCAGGCCGAAGGAGGACTTTCAAGTAATTTTAGAGGCCTTTCTGTCTCACCTGCACACACAAATCATATCTTAACTCTTCCTTTCCATGGAAGGGAACTAAACAGATCATGCAAAATTAAAAAAAACCCAACCAAAAAACCAACCAAGAAACCAAAAAAGGGTCTCGTTTTCAACTTCTCTTCTACCCTGATGTACAGCATGCTTTTAACATGAGTTCTGCATTAACTTGGAAAAAACTATGCTCCATTTTTCCTTGCCCTGACAAGATTCACCAACAACTCACTTGTGGCCAGAAGCCCTATGCTTTGTCTGCTGTTATTTAATAATGATCCCACTGTTCTAGCACCTACCTTGCCTGGACCTGCCTAAATTCATCATATGGTATGTAAATTAGTCACACAAGCCAGTTTTCCTTCCAACAAGTGGCCACATTTAACAGTCCTTTCAAACCATCCTGTTGTTAGATAGCGATGGCCCAATGTTGGTCTGATTTCACCACTGGAGTTTCACCTGGTATGCACTGAGCTATCGTGGATGCGACTGCATTTGCCTCTAGAGAAAATACAAGCCTGTGTAAAATTGCAAATGTTTCTAAGCAGGGGGGTCTCTTCTTGCACTCAAACCACCAGCCCAACAGCAGCTTTTGAAGTGACCAGAGAGGATGGAAGTGCGATTCCTCAGTGACCACTGAACACAATGCTGCTCCCCGACAGTCAAGATGAGCTTTGCCGTGGGCGGTACTGGGTGAAGGAAAAAATCCTCTGGCATTGGAGAGAGGGTGCCTTTCACTTTCCTTCCCATGTTGCTACTTTGTGTCTTTTTTTTTTTTTACTAGGACATTTCCATCTTTAAAAACCCAAGGCCTTCGAGAGCCTGCCATTTTGTATTTATTCTGTTTCAATTCAAATTTGGAAAGCAAATATACTTTTCCTCAGTCTGAAAAGATGTGTCCTTTCCTGCTAGGTTTTGCTCGATGACTTGCTGGCAATCAGACCAGAACGCTCCCCTAAAGGAGAAGATTTGCATGGTCAGAGTCAACACAAGCAGAGAAGGAAAACCTTTGATCTTTTTCACATGCTGCACAAGTATTTATCCTGGAGGATAAGAATCAGCAAACAAGTGCCTGATAATGCAGAGAGAATGCTGCAGATGTACACAGAGTAGATGAATGGGATCAGTTATAACCATCCCCACCTCCCCTATGCTCTTCATTGTGCCAGGCACGGAAGTCCTGTCCATCAAACAAACTGACATAATAAGTTAATGGATAAACTATTAACTAAAGTATTTATTTGCTAAGAGCTACAGTAGGACTGTTTGCTAGGGGAGAACTTGGGAAATAATTGTGGTTTCACAGTATTCATAGATGTTAGGGTCAGAAGGGACCTCAATAAATCATCGAGTCTGACCCCCTGCATAGACAGGAAAGTGCTGGGTTCAGATGACCCCAGCCAGATGCCCAGCCAACCTCCTCTTGAAGACCCCCAGGGTAGGGGAGAGCACCACCTCCCTTGGGAGCCCATTCCACACCTTGGCCACTCTAACTGGGAAGAAGTTCCTCCTAATGTCCAGTCTAAATCTGCTCTCTGCTAGCTTATGGCCATTATTTCTTGCAACTCCCAGGGGCACCTTGGTGAGCAGAGCCTCACCAATTCCCTTCTGCACCTCCATGATGAATTTATAGGCAGCCACAAGGTCACTTCTCAACCTTCTCTTGCGGAGGCTGAAGAGGTCCAGGTGCCCTAGTCTCTCCTCGCTTGGCCTGCAAGCCCTTAACCATACGAGTGGCCCTTCTCTGGACCCTCTCCAGGTTATCCACATCCCTCTTGAAGTGTGGCGCCCAAAACTGGACGCAGTACTCCTACTACAGTCTGACCAGTGCCGATAGAGGGGAAGTATCACCTCCTTGGTTCTGTTTGTCATGCACCTGCTGATGCACGATAAAGCGCAGTTAGCTTTGCTGATGACTTCGTCACACTGACGACTCACGTTCATCTTGGAGTCCGCTAGGACTCCGAGATCCCTTTCTGCTTCCATGCTGTCGAGCAGGTCAGTTCCTAGGCAGTAGGTGTGCTGGACATTTTTCCTCCCCAGGTGCAGCACTTTGCATTTCTTCTTGTTAAATCGCAATCTATTGTTTTCTGCCCGTTTGTCCAACCCGTCCAGGTCTGCCTGCATTTGTTCCCTGCCCTCCGGTGTGTCCACTTCTCCCCACAGTTTTGTATCATCCGCAAACTTGGACAGACTACACTTCACTCCCTCGTCCAAGTCACTGATGAAGACACTGAAGAAGACATTGTCAATATAGCACCAGGCAGCAGAGTGGAGCTGACCCAGGCAGGGGTGGGAAGGTATTCTGGGCAAAGCACGGGCAGGGGATATGAATCCCAGAGCCACAACTCTTTCCCTGAGATGCTTTGGGGTGAGGCAGCAAGATGTTTCCTGTTATTTAATGTTTGCTGTTACTTCCTATTAGAGGCTGTATGGAAAAATCTGACCCATCAGTAAGAATCTACCTACAGCTGGCCTGCCTCTCCCAAATCTGGAAAAAAAGCTTCTTAACACAGAGGCAGCAAATGCCTCAGCGGTATGGGAGTAGGAAGGTTCAATACTACTCTGAATGTTACCGGCCTTAAGCACTGCTTCAGGGCATAGAGGGCAGGAGAAGGAAAACCCACGGAAAAAGCAAGATCAGTAATGGAGCAGAATGGCGGGTAAAGTGAAAAAGAAAGAGGAAGATTATGAAATGCAGGAAGGGCAGGGAAGTAAAAATCTGAAGGCAGTATAAACACTGCATTGTAGAGTACCAACCTAACTTTTACTAGAGTTTTCCCTCTTTACGACAAAGCTTATG